ATCAAGGTCTGTTGTGTTTGAGTTGTTAATTGATGCTTATAGGACAAAGGGTTTTTTGAACGAGGCTTTTTCTGTGTTTTTGGGAGCTAAAGATGGTAAATTTATGCCGAATTTGTTGTGTTGTAATTCATTGTTGAAGGATTTGATGAAGAGTAATAGAATGGAGTTGTTTTGGAAGGTGTATGAGGGCGTGGTAGAGAGCGGGGTTCCTCTTGATGTTTATACGTACACAAGTGTGATCCATGCTTACTGTAAGCTTGGGAATGTTGGGGAGGCGAAAAGGATCCTACGCGTGATGGAAGAAAATGGGTGTACTCCGAATTTGGTTACCTATAACGTTGTTATAAGAGGGTTGTGTGGAAAGGGGGCTGTGGATGAAGCTCTTCAACTGAAGAGGTCAATGGATGATAAGGGGTTGATTCCAGATAGTTACACGTGTTCGATACTTATAGATGGGTTCTGCAAGCAGAAGAGGTCAGTGGAAGCTAAATCAATTTTGGAAGAGATGAATGACATGGGTCTCAGGCCTGACCAAATTGCCTATACTGCATTGATTGATGGCTTCATGAAAGAGGGTAACATGGAAGGTGCATTTAGAATTAAGGATGCAATGGTTGCAAAGGGAATCAAGTTAAACATTGTGGCTTACAATACTATAATAAATGGGCTGTGTAAAGTTGGTCAGATGGAAAAGGCAGTGGAATTCATGAATGAGATGACTACAATGGGCATAGCACCTGAAACTCAGACTTTTAATTATCTAATTGAAGCGTATATTCAAAAGGGAAGTCTGGATAAGGCTTCTGAGGTTCTTGCTGAGATGAAGGAGAGAAACATGGAACTTTCTGTATATACTTTTGGTGTCATAATAAATGGGTTATGTCGTTCTGGGGATTACTACCGTGCAAAACTTGTCCTAGACAAAATGGTCAGTTGTGGTGTCAAACCAAATGCCATCATCTATTCAAACATGATAAAAAGCTATGTACAGAATGGTAAGTTTGAAGATGCAACCAATGTCTTGAAGGAAATGTTGCAGAAAGGTGTTTTGCCTGATCTATATTGCTATAATTCTGTTATAATTGGCCTTTGCAAAGCCAGAAGAATGGAAGAAGCAAAAACATGTCTAATTGAAATGGGAAAGTGTGGACTAAAGCCAAATGCATATACATATGGGGCTTTCGTCTCAGGATATAGTGAGGCAGGGCAAATGGAAGTAGCAGAAAGGTATTTTAAAGAGATGCTTGATCATGGTATTGCACCAAATCTTGTTGTTTATACATGCATGATAAATGGCTTCTGCAAAGAGGAAATTAAGCAAGCCTTTTCAACATTCAACTCTATGCTAGGACAGGGATTACTCCCAGATTTGCAACTGTATAGTGTTCTTATCAATGGCCTCTCGAAAAATGGAAAATTAACAGAAGCCATGCAAGTTTTGTCTGACCTGTATGATGCAGGTTTACATCCTGATGTTTACACTTACACCTCCCTCATCTCAGGCTTTTGTAAGCAAGGAAATATGGAAAAAGCCTTTTTGCTTCATGATGAAATGTTCCAGAAGGGTATTTTTCCAAATATTGTCACTTACAATGCATTAATAGGTGGCCTATGCAAGTCAGGTGACATTGAGAAATCTAGGGAACTGTTTGATGGGATCTCTGGCAAGGGTTTGATGCCCAATTGTGTAACTTATGCTACAATAATTGACGGATACTGCAAATCAGGAAACCTATGCGAGGCATTTAACTTATTCAATGAAATGCCAGCAAGGGGGCTCCAACCAGATTCTTTTGTCTACAATGCCCTTGCCAATGGGTGCTGCAAGGAAGGGGAAACAGAGAAAGCATTGTTACTGTTCCATGAAATGATACAGAAAGGCATTGCATCTATTGTGACTTTTAATACTTTGATTGATGGGCTTTGCAAGTGGGGAAAATTGACTAAAGCAATTGACTTGGTGAATGAAATGACTGATAAGAAGATCACACCAAATCATATAACCTTCACAATTGTGATTGACTACCATTGCAAGGCTGGGATGATCAAAGAAGCAGAGGAACTTTTCATAGACATGCAGAACAGGAATCTGAAGCCAACAAATTTCACTTACATGTCTCTCTTACATGGTTACAACAAAGTTGGGAATCGGTCAAAAATGTTTTCAGCTTTTGAAAATTTGGTTGAGAGGGGCATTGAGCCTGATGAACTGATTTACAGCATGATGATAGGTGCGTATTTCAAAGGAGGACATTTGGAAAAAGGTTTTAAACTTTGGGATCTAGCATTGGACAAGGGATTGCTGGATGGATTGACAAATGAAACGCTAGTTGAGACCTTGTCTGGAAATGGTGAAATTTCTAGAGTAATGGAATTACTTGATAGGATTGGAAACCAAGGATATAATCCTTGTCTTGCAATGTGCAGTACTTTGATCCATGGATTGAATAAGGCAGGATATTCCGGAAGACTAGATAAAATATTAGAAATTATGAAAGGGTATGGCTGGATTCCTAAATCCACAGCTTTAAACGAGTTCATTGATCTATACCAAATAAGTGCAAATTCTGAGAGTGTTAGCAATCTCTCAAAGCAAGCAGCCCTAGAAGTTGCTTGTCAGGTTTAAGCAGAGTTTGAGGCGATGGTAGTTATGACTTTTGCGTTCTTGGTTATGCTGGCTGTTCGACTGATTTTTGGGATACTGTATAAGGAGACGGATCTATTAAGTGCGGTGAGCAGCCTCAGTTTTTGCTGCAATTAAGTTGCGTGAAAGTTTTCAGCTGCAATCAAAAGATACATCTGTGAAAGGTGAAAATACAAAATTCTACACTTCATCATTCATCTCAGTTGTTATCACATTCCTCCTTTCCCTTTTTACTGTTATATATACATACACATATACATACATATACATATGGCTTTGTTTTCCTCTTTTTTTAATGGGTGGGTGGGACTTTTACTTTCAATTAAAATGCACAGATGGTCCGCTTGTTCTTTTATTTACAATGTGATTATGTTTCGTTTTTTGTAGAACTTGAAAGGGTTGCATGTTTTTGTTGAAACCAGTTTCATGATTGTAGTTGGGATCTTTACTTCCATGGCAGGAATACGAAATTGCCTCCTGTTTTCTTATTTCCTTCTTTTCGGCTATTGGGGACAGAAAAATGGGTTTTTGGGGGGGGGAGGAGGGGGTGTTGGGGTTGGTGCGGTTCTTTATGAGATGCTGTCACACAGAGGCATGTATGTGCACACACCTGAACACATAACCCTAAGTATGCTAGGGGACTCTTGGCCCTCAGCAAAAGCATAGATGCTACTTTAGGTCATGGCTTCAGTTACTTAATGGAGGAGTAAAATCCCATGCTTAACAAACTGATTTGAGTTCATTTTGCAGGTGATGTGCTCCATGGTACTACCTTTAGCAATAGCAGGTGGTAAAAGAAGCAAAGGGTTTTAAGCTTAAAAGGTAATAATTATGCCTTCTATGTTTTTAATATAATAGGATTTGTTGGCTCTAGTATGTCCCTAGATATTCAGCCTAAGTTATTCATCTATCCTTGCGTTGTTTCATTTTATCTGTGTTTTTTCCTGATGTTTCTAATGCAAATAGCTTTTGATGTGCACATGGCATCTTATGTTGCCAATACTAATTATCAATGATTATCTGATCAGAATAATTTCTAATCTTCTGAAGTATTGCGGGGTATTGAGCTGCACGTTATATGTATATATATATGTTTATGTACTACTTTTTTTGAGCTATTTATTCCTGGATTGTTTACTTCTGTCCACCTCTTGAGCAGGGTTTTCGATCCTTGCTAGCTTAAGGACATCTGATGGACAAGGTTGCACATCTTACAACGATTTTAGGGGAATCATGAACTGCAATTTGGTATGCCAGATTGGAGCGCTGTGTTTTACTGTTGATGATTCTTTTGTTTCTTGTATTGTATTTTAGCACGAGTGAGTTATTATATTGCTTTGCAAATTGCTGCTTTACGTTTTGTCTCTCCACTCAGCAGGCACTGGTAAAAACACGAGGCAGACCAGCAAAAGTTTGAAGAAACACTTTGCTCATAGCGCAGAGTGATTAGGGAAACTTCGGACTCCATGCTCCCTGGAGCATTTTGAGCTACACACTCCCACTTTTCTCCAAGTGAATTGTACCAAAAATCAAGCTGTATCAACATGCAGTTCATTCTCATGAACTGGCAATCCTCTGCTGTCTTTTTCTGTTTCAATGAGGACCACTGTTAATGTTTAGTCACCAAAAAGCTTCTGGTGATCACTGGCTCGAGTCACACTGATGAAGAAGATGTTATGCGATAAATTTGTGGAATTGGTTTTCGTGCCTGACACCAAATTTAGGTGGACAAACAAATGGGACTTGGTGGATCAATGTGTCTGATTTTCTGCATTCGCTGATGACTTGCTTTGTTCTACACTGATAATTAGTGTATTTGACAAAACAAAATTATGAAAATCGGGAAAGAGTAAAAGATTTCCACTTTGATTACTGAATGTTATGTATTGTTGTTTAGTCTAATTAGTAGCTGGATGGATGATTGAGAGAAGTGGGAATCCAAGTAAAAAGGGAATTGGCAGTTCGAGTTGGAAAATATAAGGCTTGTGCAGATACCATATAGTTTTACTTCTTCATTTTATGCTCATAATGATTTTTGTTTAACGTTATTATTTGTTGCCACAAAATCCTTCTAATTATTCCATGAGGCTAAAACCTCATAATTTTTTAACGTGATAAAATCCCAATTACACTCGGAAACTGAGTATAAAATAAAAATTAATATTGCTTTCTGCCGAAGGATACAAGCAGATTTGGCGTTACCATGGATTGAATGAGGAGGACCAACCAAGGTATAATGAAGGGACTACTTTTATCGCTCTTTGATTGTAAATCAAAACAGGAAAAACAACTATTATCCATCCTAAGCGTGGAAGCAAATTCAAAAGGAAAAATGACAAAGAAACGGTGGAAGCAATTTCAAAAGGACAGAAATCAAAATTTTTCAAGATTCAATGCAAATCATACAACTATTATCCATCCTAAGCGTCCTCCTAACAGCACATTTCTGGGGACTACTCAAGTACAATAGGAGTCCCATGGTCACAGAGTCATCCTGAAATTACTTAAAAAGTTATATACAGCCACAGCATATTCATCCTAGCCAATCTCAAAAGAAAAGAAACCAGAAAAGATGGCACACAAACACGAGTATTGTGCATCTTTACACTGTTTTTGGTACCACATTGTGTCTTTCAGAAAAAGGCATGCACCCAGTGGGAGACGAAAGTGAGGTAACTCCCTTGCATGGTTTAACTGGTAAGAACCTGACTAGCCATATTCAAATTACCTCAGATCCCAGGGTAGAAGAGCGCACCGATTTAGTACATTCGAAAGTTTTCATTTCTACCTCTGATTCATGGATCCAAGGCTATCTGCTAGCATTTTTCAAGACAGCAATTATCTCAACATCATCGAGGTCAGATTCTTTAACAAGCTGTAAAGGTGTTTTACCTTCCTTATCTGGAGCTTGCGGGTCAGCTCCCCTGCCATCCAAGGGGTCACATAAGCAGCAGTTAAAAATTTTCGAACGCACACTCCCTACTAGGTGTTTAGATTTGGAAATAAAAGTCTTCTAGTATATGAATTAATTACTAAGAGCTGACTTAGTCATGCATTGTATCAATGAAGGACTTGAACTAGGTGTTTAGACAATGCACAACTTCAGGAAGTTGAAGTTCCTTCTTATACTGATAAACAAAAATCACACTTGGAAACTGAGGATAAACTGAACATGGACCCCGAAAAAAAATAAAAAAAGATGAGGATTCTCCACAATGAAAACAAAGAAGCATAGGATCTGTTGATTGGAAAGAGAAAAGAACATAATAGAAATCTAGTCAGATGCAAGAATTACCTAGTAAGCAGAAGCTTGACAATTGCAATTCTTCCTCTTATTATAGCATGATGCAATGGTGCCTGACCCCTTGAATCACAAGAATTTACATTTGCACCATGTTGTAGGAGCAACTCTACCATACTGACATCAGCAATTTGGCAGGCCAGGTGAAGCAAGGAACAGCCATCAAGAAGATAATTAATGAACTGACTATGACTAATGCTTTCTGCATTTGCAGATAGTACAGAACCACCATCCATATTGTCAAAGTTCTGATGAGCATTTGCATGATCCTGCAATCTCATTGGCTTGGCTAGACTTAATGGTGTAGTAAGTGAGGCTTGCCTAAGGATTGCGTTTACATCCACTTCACATATGACAATGAGGCGGTATGCTGATTTCTTATCATTCATGCGAACACTTTCCCACAATTGTTCGGCAACTGAAAGAAGATGCTTACTGTCGTTAACTTTCTGAACAAAACGTTTTTCTGCATACTGCAAAAGGAAAACACGCTGTTAATTTTTTCTTTTTCCCAGATAAAAAAAAGCAAACATCGTATTAGTAAAACAGTATTCCCCTGTACAGAAAGTGCAGATAACAATTCAAAATCAGACAAAAACTCATCTGAGTGTCCATGCATGTTTATAGCCCTTATTTTTTTATTTTTTGAACTGTCACATTGGCGCAGCAGTCATCTCCATGCATGTTTATAGCTACTCCAAGAAAACAAGAATACAAAACCTAGCGATTATAGTCTACCGAGGTTTCTGAATGCCTTGAAAAGATCTGTGATTCGTCTGATTCCATGACAGCCAAAACTTTGCCCTTAAATTGCACATCAAACTAAAAAAAAAAAAGAGTCCATTTTAACAAATCACTGTAAAGTCAATATCTAAGAGATTGTCTTTAATGTGACTTTTTAAAGTAAAATTGACTTCCTTAGTTTGCGAACAACAATAAATTCAACAATACTTGTATAGTTTCCAATTAAAATATGAACATTTGAGTAAATAATCCAGCTGAACTGATAGAGATAAAAAAAGAAGAAGAGTTAGTACCTTTGCATGAATGAACTTCTCCTTAACTGAGATATGATCATCATGACTGGGTTTACTGAAAAACTGTTTGTGTTTATCAGACTCAAAGAACCTGCATCAAAGATATATATATATATATATATATATATATATATATTTAACATTAAGCCTTTAAAACAAGATAATCAACTGCAGAAAACTCTGCAACACTTACCGCCTTGGTATTTCATCAGCCTGAAAAGTTTTTCTTGCATTCAACAGCCCCTCCCATATTGAATTCACAAAGACGTTCCCCAAGGCCTGGAACAACGCTATCACAGAAGGTTCCCAGACCTTCACATCGAGAGCTAAGGATCTCACCTGCACTTGAAGTACACAACAATGTAGGATTAGCAACCAAGAAAATCATTTGCTACTAGCGCTAAAAGTAATCAGCTACAATGAGCAACCAGCACTTTTCTTCTCATGAGCTATTTATTGTCAAAATTCCTTTCATATACAACCAGGACTAGGTCTTGATAGAACCTTTACACTAGAAATGTGTTTGTAAGATATTGAAAATTAACAGCAAATGTGAGAAGGTTAAAACGCAAACTTGAGATAAAAAAAAAACTTGCCTTTGATATATGTACCCCAAGGTTTCGGTGAACACCAGAACACTCTATACAGATTAGGACACCAAGATTCAGGGAAGCCCAGTCTGGTTCAAGCGCACCACAATCAGCGCACACATCGTTCCCAGGTAATCTTTTTAATGTATCAACTGGCTTATCAATTTTCATACTATGATGTAGCTGCAGTGCACTTTTTGATGAACGTATCAAGTTCCTAGAAGCAAATTCCTTATCAGAGGAATGTTCTTCAATTGTCCCGTGATCATAATCTGGGCTTCCGATGGAACTACTTTCACTACTGGGGCTTGCAGCAAAATGCTGGCACATGATTGAATTAGGATAATTCATGAGAACCAAACACTACGTTTAGAATGCACTGATGCAGTTCGATTTTACCTTCTCGGGTTCCTGGGAACTCAGTAAAGATGCAATAACTCCAGTTATTTTATCAATCCAATCCATTTGCTCTGTTGCACTCTCTGCCTACATGACCAAACAACTACTAAGCTACCGCCCAAGATAACGAGTCTTTAAGTAATTGGGTTACAAAAGACATTCAGCCCACCAACTAAAAAGTTTCTCACTACTCAAACTATTAAACATGTCAGGCTAATAAGTATTTACCTGCAAGGTGTAATTCTTCGCTGGTGAAATTATCCTGAAGCAAAATCTCAGATCTGATTGATCTGCATCAACTTTTATTGTTGATGTGAGTAAGTTCACCGTGTGACGTGCAACAGACTTTTCATCGTGTACACCACCATGATAATGAGAAGACAACCAACGACTTAGAAGTCCAGAACTGGGTTCTGAGGGAGAACTTCTATGTACATGAAAGTGACTTCCAGATCCTGGGACCTAGTAGAGAATAACATATTAAGTGGAGACGAACCAAAAGGAAGGAGCCTTTGACATGAAATTTTTGTTTAAATTACTTACAGATGACCTGCTCCATTGTTTGCGATAGTAATACAACATTCCTCTGCTATCCAAGACAAAAAATCTTCTCTTCCAGTCACCTCTTAAATTAGAAGAACGTTTTGAGAGATATCCTTGTTTAATGGTTTGCACCTAAACTATTGAAAACTTAGCTATAAACATAGAGATCAGGAACATATATTGAAAAGAGTAAATGCTAAAAGAAACCAAGGAAAGCTCTCTTTGGTTACAAGGAAATCAATATCAATTTGAGTACCTTCCCTTCCAGTGCAGACTGCATAACTGCCTCTATGACTTTGTGGGAACCTCTAGGGAATTGTTGTACTATATCATGACTTGGAGAACCAATGGACCCATTGAATGATCTTCTACTCTCTTGATCAACCTGCCTTTTGTACTCCTGCATCCTTTCATTTAGAGCTGCCTGCTCATAATTGGAACTTTCTCTTGCATGCTGTGCATAAGCCAAGACCTGTAACAGAATAGCTTCCCTAAACTCCACAAGATATGTATAGTTTATCATATAGACATTAAACATCAAAACTGTAGCTTAAACCATTCAGAAACCACTTCAACCACAAGGAAAACAGCTGATAGATATATTCAACAGTTCGTGCGGTTGGCTTAAATATCTGATAGAATGAGGATGTCCAGAATGTATTTTGCATACTATTTTCATGATTGAACAAATAAAGTTTTCATGTGCAAGAAGTACGTAGTAGTGGCTGCTTGACTCCATTCTCCATTACTTCATGTTTGCTATTAATAGTTGCAATCAGTTCGACAAGTCGCTAAATCATGAAGCAGCCATGAACAAAACCAATTCCTTAGAGAATATCAGCTATTGAAGGATCAATGATAGAATTTATCAACTGAATAAAAACTTTTTAAGTTTGAGCTTCTTAAAGTAAAACATTAATACATAGATGGGAAACATTGGGCAACATCTGTGGTAAATTATGGAAATGTAAGGAAATTTAAGTAAGATTGAGGCGATATCTTGCATGTATGCCAGTCCTATTCTAGGAGGATCCCATTGATGCATCTAAGGAATGCTGTTACGGCAATGTAGCTTGTCCAATGCTTTGGCAGGGTAAGCTTCTATATAAGTCTCTGTAATTGCTTTCTTCAACCTCCTCTTAAGCATCTTACTATTACTCCTATATGCTCTTGTATGTTCCTTCCAGGGATATGAACTACTGGACAAATAAAAGAGGTGCTAAAACACGTTATCAGAAATCATTCCATAATAAAAAAAGAAAAACTGGACCTGGTTTATGTAAGGCTCCATCTGATGCAATAGCTCGTATCCCTGTACATGACATCACTTTTTGGATTCAGCATGTGCATTATAAGCATATCTCCATTTACTAAGAGCTTCTAATCATAAAAGGACCTGTTTGAAATAACGAAGATGAGCATCCATTGCACTACCTACAGCATCCAAAAACTCGAATCGTTTCTTTGCCTCAACAGTAGAAAGAGCACCAACCTGACCATTCATCAAAAAGTTCTATGGTAAGACAATTTCGAAATTAGAGAATTCCATATCTTGATAGTTCTATAGAAAAAAGAAATGACTAGAAACTTAAAACAAACCAGATTGAACCGTGATTGCTCAAACACAGATCTTGAATTATGAAGTTCCTGGAACGTCCCTCTACCAAATTAGAATTTAACAGATAATGGTTACCCATAACCAATTATCTGATCAACGAAAGCAATTGGTAATAAATCATTTAATGTAAAAAACTAATGCTCAATACCTCCTCTAACGCAGCAGCTACATCATTTTTAGTGCTTTTCCTCAATGACAAATACTTCTCGCGGACCTGAGGCAGGAATAGGGTGTTAACAATAAAAGAAGAAAGTACCAACTATATCAGCATGTGATTCATCACTGTACATCCTTTATTGGTATGTTAAGATATTCCAATTGTATATTTTGTTATATTTAGTAGCTTGTAATCAAAACAAGGGGGGTTCCTGTATAGTGTACAGCAGCAAGAGATTAGGAGTAACAAGCCAGTGCTCTATCTTCTCAACTAATGACTGGGTATGTTGATGGGTTAAGTTGGTAAAATTCTGCCTATACTTAGTTCAATGGAGCTTAAAAAACCCCACAGCAACCACTAAATATAAGCTTTAGATCTACAGTGCGGTGCAAAATAGGCTCCCTCACCATTTTGTGCGTGACTAGGAGAAAGAGAGATACTCTTAAGAGAGATATGGCTCTAAATATAGAAGTGTATACATTTGAAAGGAAAAGTACCAAAGGAAGGATGATTTCTTTGACTTTTAATGGATCTCATAGTTCTCTGCAGCTTCCTACTCACTTAAGAAGATTGATGCTTAGTTTCCTAAGTACCCCAAATTATAAAACTGCTAATTATCTCTAATCCTCAAGCTGCCTGGCATGTCAGTGGACTAAAGGATTGACATGGAAATGCTAAAGGATCTATTAAGCAACTGAAGTCATAATCTAAACATAACATGAGAGTAGGTTTCTCAGCACTGCCAATAATGACAGTAAATGAAATAGGAATTTTTATAGATCAACTGAGCTTCTCATAAAAAATTGATTTGAGAAAATAAAATCAGCAAACTGCCGAGGTGTAATCATGTAATACCTGGTCATAAGTAACATTAGCCTTATCAAAACGCTTACGAGCTTCCTGCAATTTACATGATTGTGTTGATTAGAATGGAAAAGATCCTTCAATATATAATAGTAGGAGGGAAGTCATGCAGAGTTATAATGATATATACATATAAACAGTATTACAAGTAACAGAGTAACAACAACAGGTGTTGATTTAACAATTTTACCCTTAAAAAATAATCACGTACAGGCATGTGATGGATTCCAATAAAAAATTAGTTAGAAATCTAGATAGGGATTAAAATTTGACATTAATAAATTTATAAGAGACGTAAAATTATATTTTTAAAATAAGAAATGAAAAAGTTAGGCCTTGTTGGATTGCATTTTTTTGAATATTTTTAAAAAAATTACTATAACGATTTGATATACATGAAATAAAAATATATTCATGAAAAACGTAACCATATTTGAAAAAGTAAAACGATTTTCCATTCATTAAATCGAGAAAGTGGCAAAAAGAGCCATCCGCCTCCGATACAAAAGAAGGGGACCCACCAGAACGACTGGCGCCAAATCATATCCGTTTCAGATTACATTATCGTCATCGTCATCATCACCAACGAGACAGCTTCACCTTTTAACTAGCACACTGGACTCTATCTCCGGCCGGCGGCCACCTTAATACTGACCCCTAAAATGGCTTTCTCCTCAGCCCTTTTCTCCCCTGTCTCTTTCACCCCGAACCCCACCCTAAACCCCACCAAACCTCACCGAAAATCCTTCACATTTGCTGCCATTCCGCCACTATCCACGGCAACCGACGTTGTCTCGATGGCTCCTACCTTAGACGGAACCACAGTCGCCGTCATTGGTGGCGGGTCAGTGGCAGCACTTGCTGCGGTGCTCTCTCTGGCTGACCCGGAACGGCGGCGGAAAATGCAGGCGGAGGAGGTTGGCGGTGGGGATAAGGAGGTTGTTAAGGAGTACTTTAACAATAATGGGTTTCAGAGGTGGAAGAAGATTTATGGGGACACGGACGATGTGAATAAGGTTCAATTGGATATTCGAGTTGGGCATTCCAAAACAGTGGAAAATGCTTTGAAAATGTTGATGGATGAAGGGTCTTTGCGGGGAGTTACTGTTTGTGATGCCGGGTGTGGGACCGGGTCGTGGCTATTCCCTTGGCGAAGGAAGGGGCCGTTGTTTTGGCTAGCGATATTTCGGCTGCTATGGTTGCTGAAGCTCAGAAGCAGGTGAGCCTTACTACTAATCATCTTGCTAATTGGTTAATTGCATTGATCAGCTAAAGCACTATTTTTTTCCCCTATTTCTTGGGGCATGCTTTACAATTTCTTTTTCTAGTTTTTTCGTAAAAATTCAGTAAAAATGCGTTCTTTGGCGATAATTAGCTGCTTAAAATGCTAACAATGAGTAGTCATCTTGATGAAATGCTGAAATTTTTATAACCAATTAAAAAGAGTGGAAAAGAATGAAAGGTCCGGAATAGGGTAAATTCACATCCCTAAGTCCTAATATTGTGCCTTGTACTAATCATGATTCTTTTTTATATAATTATAGAAATGTCCGTTTTCCCCTCTAGTCTCTTCTCTCTATCTGATGTTCCCTGTTACTGGCTACAGTAACTTAAATCAACAATGCCACCTGTCTATAGTTTACTCATGTAGTCCTTTGGTTTAGTTATAGACCCCAAAAGATTTCACTATAAACTATCCAATCGATAAGACGCTGTACAGATAAAATGCCTTTTTTTAAAAAAAAAAAAAGGGCAGTCCTATTTGCTAGCACTTAGAAGAATAATCTTCAATTGTCTAATTAAGTAAAACTCTTACCTCCATACTAGTGTGTGGGATCTATAAGATTTTAGCTTTGATAGCCATGGTTGGTACAGGCGGAAGCAGAGCTGTTGAAAGGTAAAGATGAGGTATCACCGCACCAGTTATGCCAAAATTTGAAGTGAAGGACTTAGAAAGCTTAGATGGCAAGTATGACACGGTAGTCTGCTTAGATGTTTTGATACATTATCCACAAAGTAAGGCAGACGCCATGATTGCTCATCTTGCTTCATTAGCCAAGAATCGGTTGATTCTTAGTTTTGCTCCCAAGACATTTTACTATGATCTGTTGAAGAGAATTGGAGAATTGTTCCCTGGACCTTCAAAGGCTACAAGGGCATATCTTCATGCAGAGGCTGATGTCGAGAGGGCTTTGCAGAAAGTTGGCTGGAAAATAAGGAAGAGAGCTTTAGTTACAACACAATTTTATTTTGCAAAGCTTGTGGAGGCTGTTCCTGCCTAGTGCATAACAAGAGGTTAGAGCTGAATTTTTGCCTTCTTCCTCTTCTGAACGGCTAGATATTAGGAGACTCCCAGAAGTTTTTTAGAGCTCTAATTTCCATATGTTGTTTGTCTCTTTTTGTTTCCTCCTAGACCATGTATATTAGATTTGATGATCAGGTATCAACTGTAACTTCAACAATTTTTGTTTGTTAAAGCATTGGACTATAATTGAATGTAGATGTCATCACTTGGTGATTTGAAGCTGTATATACGTTTGCATTTTCTTTAGTATGGTTTTTGACATCAAAATAATGCTTGATTCTGGTTCCCCTTTCGTGGTTCGTTATTTTCTGCAGGAAGATGAAGACGAAGTGACAATGACCTACTATGGAATTCATACTTTGATGTGTGCTCTTTGTATGAGCTTTCCGATTAAGACCCAGAATGCTACCATAAGGCTGTTTAATGGAAAAAAAAAAATCAAATCATTACTGGGAAATGACCTGGGTAGTCAAGGATTTTACATCAGAGAATTAAATACCATTAAAATGCTAGAGCAACTTTTGATATGTTAGGGAAGTAAAGGAATCTAATTGCTACTACACAAGGATAATAAATTCTCTATCCATAGGTTGAATGCTGGGGTAAAAACTGGTGCTGCAAAGAACATGTATTATCTTCCTTTGTCAAAACTTATCTGCAATTCTTGAAAAAGCATCGCAAATCTTACTGAGAGCAGAACTTAGTATATCAGTGTGGGCCTTCTGCTGCTCTCTGTCTAACTGTGAGTTCATTCTTTGGGTTTCCAGTTGTGCATTTAGTACACGATTGTTTCTTTCCAAAACCTTGATCAAGTGCTGACTGAGGTTGAAATCTTCACATTTATCCAAGGATAGTCTTCTTCTCTTCACATCCTCCTGAGAGACTCTTCTTGTCCAGAAATGTGGGCCTGGCTGTTTTCCTTTTGCTGGACCTAAGGGTCACAAGCTAGTTAAACAAATGCTAGGCAACTGAAAAATTTTCATCATTGATTAACTAGACTAGATATACAAATTCTGACTAATATTACGAGTTCATAGTGACAGCATGAATTTTTTGAATATGGAGAAATAATAGCATGTCATCCCTCTTCCGTGTGGTTAATAATAAATGACATAATGGGATGAAGATATCTAGGTTTACCTTGGTTGGAGTATGCTGATGAAAGTGTTGACAATGCTTCTCTGCTTTAAGAGGCAATTGTTAGCATAACAGTTTCAAGGGAAAAGAACTATTTTCGTGTAAGACTCACTCAGTGATTGAAAGCAAAACAGAAGATTTACTCGGAGAGATTCAATTTGCAGATCAGATTTTAACTTTATAAGCATCCTCTAGAGAAAGATAAGTCTAACAGTGACATATATAGTTGAATGAGCTAACCAAACCTATACTGTATATCTTTTGAAGGTGTAGAATAATAAATAAAAGGAAGTGGGCGGCAGTTTTGAACAATCAACCAAGTTGGTTGCTTGCTGAAGTCTTGGATGAAAGGATACTTGAGCATGTATCAAACCTGATAGAGGCATTGGAGCAGGGGAATTGCTTCTTGGACTTTCTCTTGCAACTTGTACGTTTGGACCCCTGAAAATTTTCCCCTGAGCGCACTTCTCAAGATGTGAAATTAGAGTTTCTGGTCTGGCATGAGTACCACTATCAAAGACTACCCCCGTTTCTATCCCCCTGTTAACATCCTCCTCATCCTCATCCTCAGTATCTGCTACACATGTCCCATCAGCCTCTCTTCCATCTACACTCATTCCCATTACAGCTTGATAGGAGTTTCCATTGAGGACAGCAGACTTCTCTATCAAAGTGACCTGGAAGTTTTTCTCCCGCCTCAAATCATTTCTCATCATCCAAAATGATTCACCTTCTTCTTTTACCTGTGACTCCCATGTTCTTATTTTCTTGAAGTCACTAACAAGATTGCTCCATCGCTTTCGGCACTGGACCGGCCCTCTGTTCACCCCATGCAATCTGCAGTACGATGAGACAGAGTCCCATTTGGGTTCATGCTGACCTGTAACAAAGATGAGAGCTGGATCTGCGGCCCTTCCTTCCTTGACTCTCTCTGCAATATTTTTCCCTTCAATGAGGATTAGTGTTTCTTGCTTGGTCCACCGAGGGTGTCTTGTTGATTTATTTTCGCTATTGGTCCTTTCAACAGCTTGGTGCTCTTCATCAAGTACACTAGCTGAGGAAGTGGCTTTTTCAAGCCTGTCATTTGGTCCAGGAGCCATGTACTTTTAACAGCTAGACTCAGGAAATACTGGACTGGTGCACAAGTTTTGAGCCTAATTTCCCACGTTCTTCTTATATGTGTTTTTCCCATCTCTCAGCTATTGACTACAAAAACATGGGCTAATACTTCTTTAGAATGCATTCAATTCAAAAGTTCTTTGATTTTTTCCTTGTTTGAGCACCAAGATGTTCACTGGAGGCACAATTTCCTCAAACAACTAGTCAATATCTTCTTAAGCTCCTAAATGGCATAACCATGTTGGGATGTATATTTTGTCCTTTCAATTGCTTAGTACCATATAATTTTGTCGTTGAGAAGTAAAGTGGCATGTCCTTTCTTTAACTATATAATTTTCCAGATAGTTTAGCTTTAGCATATTAAGATTCTTATATTGCAACAGAAGCAATAATATCAGCTTCCCATTAATGAAACATTACCTGTTGCAGGAGTTGAGGACTAAATAAATAGTAGTAAATGGTATAAATTCTCTCTCTCTCTTTTTTAAGAAGTATTAGGGTGTATATAATATTAGTGTTTATCTTGAATGACGTTCTTTATTGTGATTCTCTTTGCTTTCCGCACTTGATGAGCTAACAATTGTATCTGACGATCTCTATCATGAAATTTGCAGGAAATAGGTTGGATGTGCTGAATTTCCTATGTCTATCTTTCCTAAATTCAGAAATAAGCACTGTAGAATCAAAGAATTGATTATCTAACAGCACAAGTAAACAATCTCCACAGACTGGCGAATCTTCAATATTATGGGATCTTCAATGAAGCATGTCAAAATATAGCTGTCAAGCTCTATATTAATGATTCAATACCCAAAATTCTGTAACGTTTCTGTTTTCTTGGCCAAGGCTTCTTCAGTTACATGATCTTCCACTGATACAGATCAGTAATCGCGAAAAGATTTTACCATTGAGTTAACGTCAGATTTTTCTAGGATATGTGATCTATTCTCATCAATGCAATGCGTTCACTGAACACAATATCCTAAATCCACCCACCTCATGATAAGTTCTTGATTTTGTGAGCATCAGTTGTGATTTTTTGAAGTTGCCAGTTTCAATCTCAATTTCTCTGTTGTTTACCTACCATGAGATGAGAGGCCTTGAAAAAATTAATGAGTAGGAAAAAAGAGACGTGAATAATGTCCAAGATGATTTACAAAAGAGTTGATCTTATATGGGCTGACATTATTTTGACGTTAGTATACATAGAGAGTATCATTACTTAGAATCACTATTAACAATAATTAGGACCTGTTTGGGGTTGCGGTGCTTTCAGTTAAAAAGCACTTTTGGATGTTAAAAGTATTTTTGAAACGCTTTGATAAACATCATTCCATAAAATTAGGAAATGGAGCTTTTGGTGTAAAAAACACTTTTAACAAAGCTCAATTTTGATGCTTTAAATTTATGTTTTTTAAAAAAATTTTAAATTTAATCACTTTATCCTATAGAGAAATGTTATTTGGACTCAATTTTTTGTTATTTACACTTCTACCATTTGTTTTATTAACCATTATTTTTAAAAAAAATCTTGTCCAAAAATTTAAGAGTAGATTGACTAAGCATGCTGCTTACGGGCCATTGAAAAGTTTGTTCACTGTTGGGAACTGAAGCCCAGAAGGCCTAGGCCCATCACAAACAAACCAAGCTGCTTCAAACGTGGCGCTCCCTTCATTTTTCCCGCGCATTTTGTGCTGATTCCGGCCAATTTGGCCCCAAAAAAAATTCCCACCCCAAACCAAAAAAAAAAAAAGCAACCCTAGATAACAAATTTCTGAATTGGTCGAAAATGGAAAGAGGACCGGAGAAAATGAAAGCGAAATGGATAGAGATGAAGAAGAAGCAGTCAATGAGATCTTAAGAGATCGATTTCGACTCTGCACTATCTCCATTGCTGAAGCCGAAGGTATTTTAATTAGCTTTTGGATACTTGATTGCATAATATTATGTAAAATCATCTCATATTCGAAATTTTTTGAGCAGCAAAAAGAATGGGATGGAAGTTTCGCAACCGATCATGGCTTGTATTTCGATCTAGCCTTCAAATATGCCGGTAATATTTTCTCCCTAAGGTTCTCTGTGTATTAAGCTTGTATTAGAGTTTTAAATAAAATTATATATGGTTACCTGTTATTTGGAGGCCCAAAAAAAAGGAATAATGGAAATGAGCAACTTTGATAAATTCGTCGTCCAAAATGCGTGCTTGATTTTTTTCCTTTTTCTGGTGGGCTTGAAAGAAACTATTTTTATTGGGTTTTGTTAGGCTGTTTGATTCTAGTCATCTTACTGCAATTCTGTGTATTTTCTCTCTGCATTTGGTTACCATTTGGAATTTGGATATAGTCAAATAACTGATAGTAGAGGATTTCCAGTCTATGATTGCACAGAATGGGCTATTGAGCTGTGGAACTGTCTCAGCAGGAAGTGGTTTATTGTATAGAGCTCCTAAAATCACATTATTTCATCTTGACTTATCTTCTTTTGAGATTATCTTGATTAAGTCAACTTGATTATTTCAACTTAATCAAGATAATCTCAAATGTGAAGTCGTCTTGACTGAAAGTTTGGTCCATAACCAATTTAGTTCAGCATGTATCCAGTATGGGAATGTGCTCATCTTTGGGGTGTGGAGATGATGAAAGGCAAGAGCAAGGAGGCTCAATGTATTAGGCACAAAAAGTAGCAGCTCCCAAAGACCGATTCTCGATAATTTTGCATCATGGTCAATTGGTCTGTCTGGAAGATTAGGTTTAGGATAATTCTGTTCATTTCAGATGGATGACAAGGATCACCAACTTATAATCTGTATAATATTCTTAACATCTAATTTTCTGCAACAATTGCATCTTAAGCTGCTTATTAACTGATAGAGGTAGACTTGAACTCTATCTAATTGTTGGCCATCTTGGTTTGATTTTTATGTGTTTCTAAGTTCTTCAGCTTTTCCATGAAACATGAAATCTGTATTTCATGTCTAGCTATTCCAGCTTTCAGCTTTGCTCTTGGCATGAATTTTTGATGGAAAACAATATGATGACCATGAGAGTGGATGAGATCTGGTGTTGTAGCTTGTTCCTTAATCAACCCCATTTTCTTCTCCCCTAATTCATCTTCTACAATGTGTTTTGACACTGCGAAATGTATTAAAATGATGCGACACCAGCGAATTTGCATCCCTGTATTCAGCCAATTTAAACTAGGATATTAAGTGGATCAAAATATTTACAAATTTCAAGTTTCCATAACAAAACTAGTTTTACTCGCTGCTCGCATTTTGTTCCTGCAGAGAGGTAAGATGTATGCTAGTTAGTCTGACATTCCTGAATTGAAAGCACCAATATTGATTAAAGATCACATCTTGCATATGCAACCCTTAGCCTTTGCTGACAAAAAGGTTTCTTGCAGTTGTTGAAGTTTTGAACTAAAAATGGAGTATTTCCTGAAATGCAGAACAGTTGGCAAAGGACCTTGAGCTATTCTCACAGCATGCTGGTCGTAAATCTGTAAACATGGAAGATGTCATACTTTGTGGTGAGTTGACTGGCATAATTTTGGAAGTGAGTTTTCTGTCTCTGGATTATTCAAAATAATGATATGCCTAATTGTACTTCAGTGCACCTGCAGTTTTAGAATGTTTAGCTGCATACTGCATGCTTTAGCAGTCTCCTAAAAAAGGAAGACTAGAAAGAGTCTGAATTGTTTTAAACGGTAAAAGCATTCTTCTTCTCAATTAACAGGCTCATGTCTTGTCATTGATCATCGTTACAAGTCCAGGTTATTTATATTGGAGCATATTATACGTTGATATTCTCAGTTTACCCCAATTTTGTCATCCTCTTACATGTGAATACTTGCATTGACAAAACAAGTGTCATTAGTGCTGCTGATAAGGATTCCGAAGCACATGTTTAAGCTCTGATATGGCATATGTCTGCACGTTTGGAATTTCTGGTTTTAGGGAATAAAGTCGAGTGCATCTTGATTCAATTTGTTAAGTATATATATATATATCTCTCTCTCTCTCTCTCTTTTTGTTTTTGTTTTCGTTTGTTTGTTTATTTTCGATGTTCATATACCATAAGCTGACTTGGACTTGTTTCAGCTCATCGGAACAGTCAACTGGCTGCGTCATTAAGATCTTTCTGCAATGATCTAAAAGCAAAAGAACCTCCATCGGAAAGGAAGAGGAGAAGAAATGCAAAAAAGGAAGATAAAGGTGCTGCTGACGCACTCTATATCCCAGATCAGTAATCGAGACTTGAATTTTCGTCCGCAGATTATTGTATAGTTTTTCTCACATATTCCATCTTGGTCCTCTATGATTTTAGATGTATTACCTTCAGTGACTAGGAACAACAAAAAAAACTATAACTGATTAAGAAATACGTATGTCCGGAATCGTCTAAACTGATTCTTCTCACTTCAACATCTTCCCTTAAATGATTCTAAGATGACCTCTGGAACTACATGATAAGCAAATTCTTCTCACTTCAACACTTTCCATTAAAGTGATTGGATTATGTATGTTATGGTTGCTGATGAACTTCAAAATCGAGATCGAGGCAAATGTAAAAAAAATGCAACTCGAACGGATTCTAACGAAAAATTGCGGTATACCCAAAACTATGCGTGACAACACTTGTTTTAATGCAACAAATGTATAAACAGTTATAACATGTGTAAAGTAAAAAACGAAAAACTTCTGTAATTGCATGTGCAACACTTGTATGCAATTATAACACTAGTAGCTGAGAAGGATGGGTTGGGTAATATGAGAAAGGGGAGTGTAAGTGAGAGATTTTGGATTCGAAACTTCTCACTTGCATATAAAAAAAAAATTTACAACACTGTAAAACAAAAAACAAATATTTATATATTATATGCAATATCAATAATAACCTAGGGTGCATTCAAACGAATTGAATTGAGGAATGTCATGCTCGAACTAACTCGATTTGATAGTGCTATTCGAGTTTGATTGAGTAAAGATTTTTAAACTCGATTTGACTTGAATAAGTAGTATATGAGTTTGAACTCAATTCAAATGAGCTCTAGGGCCTTTGCGAGCCACGTCGAGCTCGAGTTTGATTTTTCAGTGATAAATTTCACAACTTTCATACTGTAAGTGTAATTTCACATATATATTATTTTTAATTTAAAAACCTAATTACTCGAATAAGTTTTTTTGTTAAGCACTCAAGCCTCCTTCTTTAAGGCTCATGCTTGACACGAATTCACAAATGAGCTGCTCAAGGTCGAGTCGAACCTTAGACTAGTTCGCGAGCAATTTGAATCTCTACGAGCCCTATTATAATCTTTAAATTCAGAGAATACACCATCCACACCTTAAATATATATAGTATCCTACTCCCTCTGTGTAGCACAAAGGAGTCTAACAAAAAACAGCACTATACCAAAAACTATGTGTGATTACATGTGCAACACTTGCATTAAAGTAACAAATGTGTAAACAATTACAACACGTGTTAAAAAAACAACAAATGTTACATTTTATGCGTCAATATCAATTGTAACCTCTAAATTCAGCAATACACCATCCACACCTCAAATATATGTAGTATTCTACTACGTTTGTGTAGCCCTTCCAACTAAAAAGCAAAGTTAGACAGGATAAGGAACAATGTTTAGATAAGTTTGGCCTCAATAATGTTTAGATACATTTGGTCTACGAGTCTATAGACTATGTAAGTATATTCAAGATTATGTAAAGGATGATTTCATAATTTTTTTTTCTACGTCTTAAAAGTTAATCCAACAAGTAATAAATGCAACAAATTGTGGAAGCACCATAGAGATTAATGATTAGTTTATCTAAGCACAAAAAAAAAAAGAGTTTTAAGTAACTAATCATAATTAAAAAGAAAAGAGTTTTAAGTAACTAATCATGTTGAAGGTTGATTAGGGAAAACTCTCTAGTCCCTCCTCACTGTCAATTAATTATCAGGATTAAAAAGTTAAAAAAAAGGGAAAAAAGAATCACATCTACGATCACCAATAGCATAGGTGGGTTTAAGGACGGGTGCACGTCAAACACTATAAAAGCCCAAGCCAACCACAGAAGAAAGAAACAGGACTAATAAATGAGCATGAACGACCCTCCCCGTCCGGTTCTCAAAAAGCCTAAAATCGAAAAAACAAGCGAAGCAGGAGAAGAAAAGAGAAGCAACAATGGCGGCAATCACGAACAAGAAGACGAAGAGGAAACGACGAGGAAAGAGCAAGAGGAAGCTCTCGTTGCTCTTATGAACACCGTACTAAAGAAGTAGAACATCTCCGCCACCGCATCAGCTATTATACAACTCAGGTCTCCAAGTTTTTCTCGCTATTTCTTCCCTTCTTTGGGTCAGTTTTTCTTAGGTATTGGAATTTTTTGAATTCTTTGTCTTAAGTATGAGTTTTGATTTTTTTTGTTGGTGCTGTATCACTCAAAAAGAAGGAAAATGGCAGTGGTCGGAAGCTACAGAAATGGTGGAGTAGGAAGCTTGTTTAGGTTTAACTTTTTTTTCCTTTTTCGTTTATCATCAGTTGTTTGTATTCAAATGATCGTTTAACGCTTATTAATTTAGGTTGGAAATGTGTTGAATGTGGTTTTTGTTCAAGTGAAAAGTCTGACTCTGGCGAAGCTGTAAGTATGATAAAAGATCCATTTTATGTGAGTGGAGTGTAGAAATGTAAGGTAGTATGATAAAAGGTCCATTTTTATGTGAGTGGAGTGTAGAAATGCAAGGTAGGACCTTTTTTTTTGGATGTTTTTCTATTATATGTTTAAGGTGGCATTGAGCGTCGATGAAGGGAGTGATTCGAAGGCATCAATTAATGGAGTGATTGAGTTTCGAGATGGAGTTTACTTGTATTTTTAGGTGATGCAGAGAGGGAGAGTAAATCGAGGACACATGATATGCAGTAATGTTTGACTTCATCCTGTGATTTTATGAAAAATTGCATAGATAATGCGTCTTTGCATGAACTTGTTTGTTAATTCAAGCTGAGGGAAAGCTTTCTTGGTAACAGTTGTTGTTAAAGTTGACTTGTATCTTTTGCTGTTGCTGGGCTCATATTTTGTTGGACGTGATTCAAGATGATGTTTTCGTGTTGCTTTTATATTGCACAATTTCATACTTTGCTGGAAGTAATGCTTTGCTGTTCCTTTGGGTGAGAACTGCAGCTTGGTCAAGCAGAGAACAGATTAGAAGAATCAAAGATTCAATTGGCTCGCATTCGTGGTCGCCACAGTTCATTGACAACCAAAGCTTTTCTTGGGAGTGGTACAAAGGAAGCAAATGTAGAAGAAAGATCCAGCGCTCCTTTGCAGAATAGTCAAGGTTTGCAAAATCTATCTGAAAGTAAACCACAATTGGGTCAGGAAGCTGTTAAGACATCTAGAAACTATGAGGGACGTGAGCGGGGAGCAGCAAGTCCTTCTGGTCACTCTGAATACTCTTCTAAAAATCAACCTCAGTCTAAACCAAAGTTGAATTCCTAGCATTGCTGCAAGCAGCCCTAGAGCTTCTCAACTTGTGAAGACAAAAGAATCTGGATCAAAAGTCGCAAGCAGTTCTGGTTCACAGCAGAACGCAATTACCCCAACTAGTGATAATATAAGTGTCAAGGTAAGAGAGGACAGATCTTACAAGGTATCTCCCGAACCAGAAGTTAGTGCAAGCCAAACTAAAGCGGCAAAAAGAATAATAGGTAAAGTAAATTATTTCCTAATTGCTTATACTGCCTATTTATATGCTTTATGGTTCAAAATGAATTGGATGACATGCAGTATTTGGTTACCATACATTTGATGAGTTGATGATAAAAGGGGTAGAATTGATGCTTGTTTTGCTTTTAATTACAGAGCTGAAAGAACATAAAGAATTGATTCCACTTGTACGAAGCAGCTCTTCACCAATCACGATTCGTTGCCACACTGGCTCAGTTATATCTAGTCAACACAAAAGAAAGTTGAGAAGTCTTATCTTATGTCCTACAAATGATCAGCTATTTGCGAGTGCGACCACTGTAGTAGTTACCACTCCTCTATCTATAGATAGATGCTGATATGGTTCTTGTAGTAGAATCATAACCTCCTAAGACTTTAGTTTGATGTTATTTAAAAGTAATAATGCTCTGGCATCTTTCAACTGTTGCCTTTGTAGGAAAAGGCATACGAGTTCTAACTTTTGGAATTTCAGCTATGAATCATTTAGAAGAAAACTAGCATGTGTTTCATGTGATTTTCTCTCAACAAATGATTGTACAAGTATTATTCAGTTGTAGGCCATAATAATTTAAAATTAAATTCTATCTTTTTCCTCTCTCTTTCCCTCACACTGACATGCACTTCGCTGTTCTGTAAACACATGCAAGATTTTAACTACCATGGACATTGCACTTTGTAAAGAGGCGAATATAAATACCATTGTTTCACATGGGATTCGCAGTAATAAAAGGTCTGTGTCTCTGTGTGATGCTTTTGTTTTTTTGCAGTCAAACTGGTTCTGGAGTCAAGATATCGTGTCATTCCTTTTAAAGAGTCTGATAAAACTCGCAGATCTATATTCTTCAAGAAGACCTATATTCAGTTTTGTTTGCTTTTATTCTAAACAGCTCTTTCAAAAGATACTTTTAACAAGTTTCCTGCTTTTCATGCTTACCTTTTTATTACAATTCCTTTCTGTAAACTTTATAGTAATACTTTTCTAAAACTCTTTGAAAGAATGCAATCTAAATAGATCTCTAATCTTTTGATAATTTTTTTCCAATTATGTGGGACTATCAGTGCCACATGGATGTAGGTTCTTACATATTTTAGGGCTTTAAAATGCCATATTTCCCTTAACACCATAGTTTTTTTGTATTATGAGGATTTGGAATCTGAAACTTTTTCTTGATCTATAGCATATACTTGCTTAGATAGTAATAGAGTAATTGTATGGTACAAATGTTGCTATCCACTTTATTTTAGATTTCTGATATGAGGCAAGCATTTCAATCAAGTTATTTTAAGATTTCTACTATGAGTTAAAATGTAAAATATGAGGCAAACATTTGTAACTCAATGTTAAAGCTTTCTAGAGATGAAAGAAGAGTGGTGAACTTGCACGGTGGCAATCTAACAATAGATTTATATAGGGTCATGTTTCCCCGTATGATGCAGCTAACGACATATCATAAAGGATAGGATCTTTTCAGATTTAGAAATCATAAGATGCATGGAACTTTAATTTGTGTTAAAAATTTTGTTTTAGTTTTCCAGTCCTTTAGTACTCTCTCTCTCTCTCTCTCTCATCTTATTATGTTCCATTATTGCTTCAAAACCTAATACTTCTCCCTGTACGTTAATGTTTTGCAGTGCTTTGGATGGCATCA